AGTTACAGTACTATTATTATTGTCTTTTATTTCTGGATTAATGGATTCCTTACATTGATGCCCATGACTCAGCTGTATTCTTATGCCTCTTCAGGCCTTGGATTTTTCAGGAGCTCATCAGTCAGTCACGTTTATGATAGTGGTTTTGGGATGTGTTCATATCCACTGGGGATCGCGTGGAAAATGTAAGCCAGTGAAATCCCAGAAAATGGTCATTGATCCCACCATTGATCCCCATTGTTAACCCATCAGTATCCTCAAAATATCATGTAATTTTCATATAAAAACTAAGTTATGTTTGGAGTGACCTGAACCCCTGTGAGAACTCAGTTGGCTATACGAGCAGCTGGGGTGTCCCAGCAGAAGTTATATAGAGAAACTGAGCTGAGCAAGAGTGAAGAAAGTCAAAAGAAAACAAAAAAGCATGTATTTAGAGTAGTGTTGGTCTGATAAATATTCACTGATTAGTGTACCTCTTTTTAATCTTTAACCTAGAAGGAATCATAGAAAGAATTTAATTGAAAGTTAAGTGAGAGTGCTGGAAGTCTCCTTAAATGAGTTACTAAGAAAAATTATGAAGAATTGCAGAAAACTTTTGCTCTTGCAGGAAGAACTGACACACTTCCAGGTTAACGGTATTGGAGGGGTGAGGAAGGAGAATGATGCAGAGGAAGTAGAAGCTCTAATGTGGGAAGGGCATGGGATACAATTAATTCTTCTGGGACATCTGATAATTGATCGAAGGACACTTCCCTGTATTGGCTTCTACAGTCAGACACCTTCTTCCATGTCAGAACTGGCTACATTTTATTGGCATATTTTATTTGACTATAGCAAAAAAATTTTAATTTTGAAGAGCACTTAAATATGCTGACTTTTAAGACAGAGGAATATTAATACCATTGCTTTTCTGTGATTTTTGAGTAGTATGAGTAGCAGTAGTATTGCAATGAATTCCGCTGTAGCAAGCTGCTGTAATAAGGGTCAGATGGTCACATGCATCATCCAGTTGATGTAAATATAGACTTATTGCATTTCCAATTCCTAAAAAGTTGAGGGAATTGTTTACAAGTAAGAAGTAAAGAGAAAAATATGACTTAGAAATTATATTTGTCCACACAGTGATAACAGATGAGCCCATACTGATAGGTGGAAGATGAAGGACAGAGTCTGCATGTTTGTGTTATTTTTAGAGTACTACCTAAATCAGTAGGAGAAATCTTTTTATTCCAGAAGAGCTTTATACTCAACGCAGCTGCAGACATTGCTGAGTATCTTGAAGAGGAGGAGGAGGAGCGGGTCTGCTGGCCATTTA